TCTAAATATAAGAGCTAGTTGATTAATTTTAGAAAATTAATAAAATATGTTAAGTTAGTTATTTGTCATTAAATAGGTGTTATAATATTCTTGCTAATCAAGATTGGCTAGAACTATCATTATTTGAAGGATTATCTTAGGAAAAAATTAGATAAATATGAAAAATAAAGTGAATTTAGGTCTTATATTTATGATCAAAATAAAAGTCAAATGAGGTTTTGTATTAAGCACCTGAGATAGTAGTAAATAAGTGTTGTTTTTTTTTAAAAATATTCTTGTTAATTAAGTGTATTAGCTAGAACTACCACTACAAAGAAAAAAAACTTTAGGCGACAGTTTTCGGCGACGACAAAAAAAGTCGTTGCTGAAAGTGGACTTCAGCGGTGACTTTTTTTATTGCCGCTGAAAGTATACCTTTGAGAATCATTGGGTTCACTTTCAGCGGTGACATTCTATGGTCGTGGAGGGGGCTAATGATGATGTGGCACCTGGTCGATGATGAGGTGGAAGTGGCTAGTGATAACATGACGGCCGGTGGTGATGACGTGGCAGCTGGCGATGATGACGTGGCGCTGACGGTGATAATGTGACATTGGTAAAACCAATTCTTTTTAAGCATCACTTTTAGCGGCGACAAAAGAATCGCCGTTGAACATTTGTCGCCGCTGAAAAGTCTTTAATGTCGTTGCCTAAAGTGTCTTTCAGTGACGACAAATATCACCGCTGAAACTTCTAAAAGTCACCGTTAAAAGTGTCTTTCAATGGTGACCTTTTTAATTGCCGCTGAAAGTTTTCAGCCACGACTGCTACGGCAACGACTTTTCAGCAGTGACAAGTCGCCACTGAAAACTATTGCTGTTGAAAGTCAATTTTTTTGTTGTGTACTATTATTACAATGATATCTTAAAACAAATGAATAAATATGCAAGACAAAGTGGATTGAGGTCTTATATTTAGGATCAAAATAAAAGTTAAACAAGCTCTTATATTAAGTGTTGAAGATAGTAAATGCTCAATATATTCTTTCCCTTTAGAATGACTAAGAATTAGTCTCCCACACTGCAATCCAAAGCCATATAATTAAAACAATACCCTGAGACGGATATAGCATAGCCAATGTCTGCTGCAATATGTCATAGCATTGCCTAAAATATTATGCGGTAGACAGACCACAAAAGTAGCATATAAAATTAAATACATAGTGCAGAAAAAGAAATCGTCTAAGCAGGTAGCTCTAAGAGAGTGCACACAAACTTCAGGATTCAATGAAGTCGTCCAGCCTATTAGCCTCGTCAAGCAACAACACTGAAGACTCTTTTACAGAAGCTAACTCCTTGATGGACTCAAGCTGAGCTTCGAGATTGGAAGCTTGGCCTTTAGTCTCCTCAACCTTCCTCTTCATGCCTTCTCCATCACTGCATTCCCCAATGCATTTATTTACGTAACTCAGCCACGAAGCATCAAAGCCAGCCACTTCTAAGACGGTGCAGCACTTTCGAATGTAGTTTCGATCATCTTCTGTCAATTTGCCTCTCCGAGTGGTCCTTAGAATACGAGTCACCTCAGCGAAGAAGGAAAAGGAGGAGGAAGCAAACACTGTTCGTTGCTTTGTGTTGAGCCAGTTAAGAACTTGAGGATGCCGCTTCACCCCAGCTTCCAAATAAGGCAGCAACTCTGGGGAAATGTCCAACTCCTTAAAGCTACTACTGCAAAAATCTGCTACTGGTGTTGTTGATGAAGACGGAGCTTTTGAAGCTTGAGAAAGGGTTGGATCAATTATATCTGGTTCAATAAGTAATTAAAAGGAAATTAAAACCAGGAAATAGAATGACTCAAGTTTTTGAAGAGAGCAAAAAAAAAAAAAAAAAAAGAACAAAAAAGTTGTTTTCTTGCTTCTAAAAGAAAAAACCTTACATGCTCTTCTTTCAGCCATTGTAGAGTTTGATGTTTGACAGTGTAAGTTGTTTTCAACAGTAATCTTTGCATCTGATTTTCCAGCATTAGAAAAAAAATTAATTAATTTGTAGAAGGAATATATTCCTATTCAAAAGAGAGCTAAAATAAAGTAGAATCTTGAAATCGATACTTGAAGTATTAAAACCTGTAAAAAAAGTGGGGGGACTTCTACAAGCATTTGATCTTTCATGACAACTTGAAAACTACAAATAATACTACTTCGATCTTTAATATAAGAGTTAGTTTGACATTCAATTTGATCTTAATTTCTATACATGATTAGCAAGAATATTTTAAGAAAGACAATACTTATTTATTATAAATAACTAACTTAACTATTTCATTAATATTCACAAATTAGCTATGCAATTCTTGCATAAAGGACTGGAGGTAGTATGATATCAACTTCTAGGGAATTCATATGTTTCTTGTGTCCCACTAGCTGAACAAATAATTTCTTAGAGAAATTAGAAAATAGAATGACAAGATTTTGTGAAAATTGAAATAATTTTCTATATAATAAGTGAAAAACCACATTACTTTCTTTGTAATATGTGTCCATAGAAGTGACCTGGTGGAACAAATCCTTACCAAAATGGATATCTGAGTCATACGATTCAACTAGTTGATTTCAATGAATATAGTAAAAAATTAGAATCATTATCCGAAAGACTACTGTTATAACTTTTAGGTCCCATTTGGTAGAAAGCATTGAAAATAAGGGATTAGGATTGGGATTGCAATTGAAAAAAATCATTGAAATAGTATTTAGCATGAGTAATTACTTGTTATATAGGATTAGGCAAACACATAGATATGGGATTGGGGAATACCACTTCCCCCCATAGTATTCTTTGATTCTACATACATGGGTTTGACTAATCTCATATAAAAAGTAATTACTCATGCTAAATACTCTTTTAATAGATTTTCTCAATTACAATCCCAATCCGGCAATCACAATCCCAATCCCAATCTCTCATTTTCAATATTTTCTACCAAACGTAACCTTAGTGTAACCAATAAGTTATAGAATAGTTATACATGGCAAATTTGGAGACAACAAAACTGGACTTATTAAATCAAACTTTTCTCCAGTATTATGGTAATGTCCCATTTATGTTGTGTAGCTTGAATGAAGGATTTATCAACACTCTCGTGTCACATGAGTCCCAATAGCTACACAAATGACTAAAACAAACCAAAAAGAAAAAAATAACTGAGAACATTTGGGCAAAATACATATTTTTTCCTTTCAAAATGGATAAAATATACTAATCACACCTATGTTCTCAAGTGAAATAGGGATTAACATGTCTTCAGCATTTTGAACCGATAGTGTTTGAACGGTTTCATGCATCTCTTTAGTCCCATTATCTAAACAATCAAGATTATTTTTGAGAGAAAAACATAAAAACAAATATAATAACACAAATTCTGCAAAAAGATAAATAAAATTAATTCCTTGGAAAAGCAATATTACTTTCTTCGGTATCATTCATAATAGATGTTGTGTCTTGGACAAGCAAATTTTCATTTGGACGAAGTTGTAAACCCTGTGATTCATCTAGTGCATTCCAGTTCATAAAAGAAATTAATACACCAGAAAGTCCTCTAATGGAGTCATTTACATATTGCAGCAATTTTACATCATTTGATGCATATCTTATCATACATCTCTTGATTTTGAAGAGGTACACACTTAGTTTGCAAAGGTAAAAGTAATTTAGTTCCATCTAATCACAAAAACGAAAAATTCATTACTTTTTTGCTGCCAATAATTTTAGAAGTTGTCGTGGCTTGGTTAAATATATTACCACTTAGATATTTGTGTCTTTTTCCTTTTCTATTAGATTTTAGCCCACTCATAATACCAAAAACTTATTTTCAATAATTAAGCTAGACAGTATATTAAACCCAAATGTCATGAAACAAGAATTAACTGAAGAGAAAGATCAGTACCTTCATTTTTTATTGATAAGGTCACAGCTTCTAAAGCTCGTGAAGGTGGATCAACAGCTACATAAACAAGTCAAATAAAATTTAGAAAAAAGGACGATTTATATTTTGGGGGAGAAATTCTTCATTCTAAAAAAAGATGGGGAAAAATAGTTACTTACTCTACTTTTAGCTGCTATACAACTTTATAGTTTCACTCGTCAAATTCTTGTTAGAAGTATATTTTTGGATCATGTAATTTTTTAAAATGTATTTTGATCTACATGGTATAGAGCTTGAAGCGTCAATTAATAAGTAATAGAATGCCTTAACAATTAATAAGAAATACACAAGATCTAAACAGTTCAGATTTAATGAGTGTGGACTATTACTCTTGGTGAGTATGCAAACTCATCCCATTAATGAGTTATTATACATCACTAAATAAGGTGGCAAATCAAACTAAAATAATATAGTTGAAGCTTGGGAGCAATTAGCATTTGAAGCATAAGAAGACATATTAAGGCAAAAAAATCGTAACTTGGAGATTGTAAAACAAAAATCAGTACCCATATTGTCAATGACGGAAGAGCTTAGTGTATTTTGAGCAAAAGGAACTATGGCATTCTCTAAGGTGTGGCATATCTCCTGATTCCTAGTACCATCTGAATGTATTTTTTCTAGTATATTAGTTAAAATAAAAATAAATTATTAGTTAATCAAAAGAATGCAATAACCAAGACCAATTCAATTGAACAAAATTGTTTTAAAACATAATAATATTGTACTTCAATAGAAAACATAAGATTAGAACCTATGTTCTGAACCATGCCAAGAATTAATGTGCCTTGTCCTGTACCTTGAACCAAGGGCCTCTCAACGGTTTCATCTTGAATTTGAAGAGCTAAACCAGTAAGTAAAATAGAATAATTCATTGAACAAAAAAAAATTCAAGATTCTAGGGGCAAAAGGAAAAGTAAAGTAAACTTTTTCTTCCAAAAGATTAAACTGTTTTTTATTATGTTCCATTCACACAATAAAAAGTCCACGTACGTCATAAAATATGTCACGGCACACAATATGATAAAGCACTTCATTAGCATGATTTATGGCAAATAGGAACCACAGAATATACCTGTTTGTTGAACAGAGGTCTGAGTTAATGTGCTTTCATCAGCCTCAGCTAACGGTGTTTGAGTGGTCTCATTCATCTCTTCAGTCCTAATGGCTGAACAGACAAATTTCGGCAAAAATAAATAAATGCTACAAGATCTGGCAAATTAAAATGAAAAAATTTTCTTCTTCGAAAAAGTAAAGAGAAAAAAAATTACTGTCGTTGTCATCAGTCATAACCAATGTATCGGTTTCCAATTACAAGGTATCTTTTAAGTCTTATTATTCATCTAATAGATTTTAATACGTTAGCCAAAAAAAAGAAATAGATTTTAATATATATATATATATTTAAAAGAGTTAAAATTTTAACTATATTGGGCTGCAGAATACTGGGGAACACAAAACAATGTTATAATATCTGAACAACCATAAAAATAAGCTAATTAAGAAAAACCTTAAAAAGCATTAAGGATTAATTTTTGGAATTTATTTGATAATTAAGTACTAATAAGAAGGGGTAAAATAATAATAAATTCATCACCCTAAGCCGAAAAATGATTTTGGGATAAGATTAAAGCCCAAAGTATGAAGGCTAAAACGTGCCCCACCTAAGAATGAAGATGAGTTTCAGATTTGTGGATGTTGGTTGGTCCAATAGCTCCTCACTTCACTCACATTGCAGAACAGAACAGGGTGGGAGAGCAGGAGCAGAGGACGTCGGGGAAGAAGGAGAGGGAGGAGGAGCGCACGGTGCCCACATGCAGCACTGGTTTTAGGACAAGGAGAGTCTCGTAAACCTTTCCCCCATCTCTATTTTCTTCAATGGTTGCTATTTGGGAATGATGGGGCCGATTGAAATCTACTTCTTTTGAGGCAGAAGCAAACGTCCTTGTGGGGTGAGGATAGTTTGGCATAGTTTGAGCTTCCTAAGAGCAAAATTTAGTGTTATATGTGTGAATTGTTGATGCATGCTCGCTGTGCTGATAGTGAGATGGTTTTTGAACCCAAAGCACCTTGTCCTAATGAGTATAGTATCGGGTTCACATTAGAGAACGGAATGGAAGTTTAAACACTAGTATAATGTATGTGAAGATTGTGTGACTCTGGGTTGAATTTTGCTTTTAGGTGGTGAATATATTTTTTGAGTGTTAATATCTAAATAAATAGATATAGAATATGTTATGAGGTTGTAGCAATAATAAAATAAGTTTAACTAGAGAACAGTACTATAGAAAGCCGATAGAATCTGTAAGAAAATAAATTAAAGCCAATATTTGAGCAGTTATGAATAAACGAAGAATACAAGAGAGTTTTAATTTGGACCTGCATGTGGAATTGGAAGTTTGTGCATTTCTTGCGTCCCTGAATCATCAATCTTGTTAGCCCTTGATTTTTCTCCATCTTCCACGGAGCTCAATGCTCTGCTTGTGCTCGCACTCTTTTGAAGGGCAAAATAGAAGGGAATCAATGCAAACTAAACAATACAAAAATCGCCTTTTCTAAATGTTCTGTAATAATGTTTTCTGGTCATGAGGAAAAAAATCAAATCGTGTTCACAAAAAGAACGATTAAATTTTGTCCACGTCTGCGAGAAATGTTTTTCTTAAATCAAAACATGCCATATCCACAAACATCAAATTAAATCACATTGAACGATAAATTTGCCATTATTTTCAAATAGCTCTCGTACTATGTAAAAAGAAATTGCGACTACATGTACATGATATTCTGATGCTCATCATGACATGATTAATTTCTGTTAAAAAAAAAAAAACAGCACATACCATATCTTGAAACATCTTGCTGATTGTTCTAGTAAGATCACCTTCCCAACACCACATTTCATCTTGTTCCTCTGTCAGTATCTTTTGAAGCATGGGTGCACTTATTTCCCTTGCAGAAAAGCTAGTCATTCTTGGACATCGCTTTATTACAAGTTTCTTCAACAATGGAAGCTTCAACAAGCAGTTACTAGAGCAAAACATTTGGAGTTTAGGCAAACTATCAATTTCTAGAACTGTTAGACTGTTGAAAACAATTTCATTTATGCTCTCCCCACCCTCTTCAGCCACAATTTGGTCAACTGAATCACACTCTCTTATCTTCAATGTTGCTAACTGAATCATACTTCTTGCTGTTGAAGAGGTCATTAAATACATCAATCCACTGCAATTTTGCACCTCTAAATATGTTAGGTGATTAAAAGTTACTGAGGAAGGCACCAAGTGCTTCAAATTGGAACATTCTTTCACATGTAGGTATTCTAGAACATCAAGAACCTGATCCAATTGGCATCCTTCTCTGCATATGTGCTGGAGTCCATGCAATTTACATAGCGTTAGCTTCTTGAGTCGTGTTTTAATATCAATTTCTCCTTTCTCATCTCGAGGCGTTTCGTCTGGGAATATCACCTTGAAAGCATTTTCTCGAATGACTAGCCATTCCAGACTGGGTATATTTTGGAGAAACCAATATAAGGAAGTAGCATGAGCATCTTTTAATTCATAGAACCGCAGAAAGTTGAGTTTGTGAAATTGATGATCTCGTGGAACTTGCGATTGGAATATCATGCTTGCATGCTCATTGCCCAAACTCAAGATCTCTAAGTTGTCAATCACCTATGCCATGCAAGGAAAACAGTTGATCACTAGAAAGGAAATATGTCTAGTTATGTCTTACAGGAATTCTTGGCAGGTCTTGAGAGTTCATCAAATCTCTAGTCTCGAGCAATGTAATAGAAGATAAATTGTCACCCAGCTAATTATACCATTCTCAATTATATAATCGGGCAACATGCATGCAAGTGACTGATTATTAGCATGCCTAATATTTAGATTTGAAAGGAACTTTAAGCACTCTTAAAACTTTGGAGGGAACACAAATAATATAAAACATGTTTGAGTTATTAAAATCAACAAGCAGCAAGATCGCGGGATGCAAGGCTAAAGACACCAGCTGCCTCTAGTATGTACATGCAGAACCCACATCAAATATAGGTATATTATCAATATCAATTTTTTTATGAGATAGGCCACAATTAAAAAGTGTTAGGGTAGACTCAATATAAGTGGTAACATGAATTTATGATGTTAAATGGTGTTGATTTATTTTCTCAGTTGAGGGTATTGAGAAGAGTTCTAATAGAAGAAATTAATTAATATTCTCATAGAAGTGTTGAACTGTATAAAAATTGTATTATTTTTTTAAATACATGCATTACTTATGGGATGTTTTTATTGACAATGGGTGTAATAATTGTTACTGATTTAAGTTTTCCAAAATTAGAAGTGCTTCTATCATCCTTAATAGGTTGCAAAATATGTTGAATGATGATTGGCAATATTATCAATTGAAATTAAAAAAGTTAGAATTACTCACTTATAAAACTTCGATAAGTGATTTTGCAACTACAAAAATAAGAAAAATAATATAAATATTATTAAGTAATATAGACCTAAGTCTCTTCACTGACTTCACCTAGAGACCAGTCATCCCTGGACACATCCCTCACAAACATATAAACACTTAAAAAGTATAACTAGTTATTTTCTTTAATAAGAGACAACCCATACCTCTTCGAGTGTAAAAAGAGGCTGTTGCTTTGAGACATGGAGATTGTTGTTAGAAAGTCTTTCTTGGCTGCTTGCACCTTGTGTCTTGAACAACTTTAATTTCTCACACTTGTAAACATCTAATTCTTTCAATGATGAACAAGATAAGCTATGATTTCCGGCACAAAATCTCTGCAATTCTTGTAAATTCCAAAGCACAATTGAGGTTAGCTGATTAAATTCAAATTTCACACCATTGTCTAAGGGTTCTTCTCTCTTGGAAACAATTTCCTTCATCTTTTCAGCATTCTTTATTGTAATTGCTTCAACTTGAGGTAGGTGCTTAGCTATGGAGAATGGAAAAAGGTACTCTAAATTTCCACATTCTTCAACTCGCACAACTTGTAGACTCTTAAAATAAAGACTTGATTGAGGATCTCTCCTCCAAATTTGTTTCAGCTTTGGCAGTCGAAGTATGGTTATATTCTTGAGTCGCGTTGTATCATCTCCACAGCACATTTCACGGACACCCAGCTGGAAAATTTCCTCCACTAAGTTGCAGTTTTCAAGCATCAGTGTCTCTAGTGTTGCAAATGCTCCGTGCATGTATATTGGAAATATATGCTGAATTTTCTGACAATTTTTCACTTTCAATGTCTCAAAGCTGCCCATGGAATTCGGAGTTAGGATAGGGTGCCATATTGTCTCCAGGTTTTGCAAGTCTTCTATTATTATTGTTTCTAGTTTGGGTAGAAGTACCTGCGATGAAGAGTTTCACTGTTAATTATAAACTATCCTTGGGATGAGTTTTATATAAATAAAAAACACACAAGTAACTCCGTTCTGTTTTAGTCATAATTACAGAAATGCAAAATGTAATTCTTTCTTTCTTCCTTCTTACTTTTTTCTATTGGTCAGTTGTAAAAGTAATTTGAGTGTATTCAAGATTCAACAGTCAAACTACTCTACTAAGTTATTCTCTATAGCTTATTGAGTCCTTAAATATAATTTAATTGGCAGAGTAAAATGTGAATAAATAAATAAAGTTGTACCCTGAATGTTTTTTACGTTTCTGTGTACAATCAAAGATGCTGGTCGTTGATGCTATGGATCAGCCTCATCTTTTTTTATTGAATTTTAAAAAAATGTTCAACTGTATTATATAGTTTGTTACTCTACCACATTGTTCTCTCTTACAAAGATTGGTTTTTGGTTATTGAATAACGATTCAGTCCGTTTTACATTAACTAAAATTATTCAAAACTAAAAAGAATATCATCAATGAATTATTGACTGCTTGTACATATTTTGATTATAACTATTCAAAACTAAACTGAAAAGCAAAACTTTAAATAATTTGTAGTTGAGATATGTTTCAAAAGCAAACGAAATATCTCGCACCTTTTGACGTTGGATTTCAACTTCATCCTCTTCTTTTTTCCCTCCAAGGCTTGGCTTCCACATGTATTGGAGTTTAGGCAGATTAGATAGGCAGATTTTTCGCAGATGACTGGTCTCTTTATCTGATTCTGCCTCTTCTTTTGCATTGTCAAATTCAATCACAGCTTCAAGTGAATCACAGTCTCTCACTTGAATTTCTTCCAACTTCCCCAAGGCTCGTAGAAAATTTGCAGGAATAAGAACATCTGACAAGAAGTTACAATTTTCCACCACTAGAGATTTCAAATTACAGAATACTTTGTTCTCAACGGGACTGTTCCAAGAATCTCTTAGATCAGGATACAAGGATAAACGAAGATGCTCCATGTCACGAAATGCAATCTGCACAAAAGGAAATTTCCAATGAAGAGTTGTTAAACAACAAACTTTCGCTTGTTACTACCAATTGTCACACCATTTTCAAAGGGAATAAAACATACCTTATCCACATAGATTTTTTTTATTGTTCCATTCAAGTTACCTTCCCACCACCATTCTTCATCTTTCCCATCTTTTGTTATGACCTTTTTAAGCATTGGTGTGCTTGCTGCTCTTTCACAGAAGGTTTTCATCCTTGGACATTGTCTCATAACAACTTTCTTCAACAAGGGGAACCTGAAGAAGAACTGACTAGATGAAAAACTGTTGAGCCTTGGCAAGCTTTCCAACACTAAAGTTCTTAAACGTCTGAACACTATTTCATCTCTTGCCTCGTTCATCCCCTGCGTCACTACTTCTTCAAGTGAATTGCATTCTTTTAATGTTATGTCTTCCAGATTGACCAAACTTGTTGCAGTTGATGAGTAAATTAAGTTCATCAATCCATTACATTCCATGATCTTCAAATATGTCAAGTGGGAAAAAGTGACGGAGGAAGGAACCAAAGTTTTCAAATTGCCACATTCCGTCACATATAAAACTTCAAGAGCCTCAAGGATGGGATCGATATTGCATCCTTCTCTACATATGTGTTGCAATTGTAGGTAATCTAATCTTAGATATTCAAGCTGGGTGTTAATTTTGTTTTTGCCTTCCTTATATGGAACTCTTTTGTCTCGGAATATCTCTTTCAAGGAACTATGTTGAACAGTTAGAGATTTCAAACTTGGTGCCTTCTGCACAATTGAGTCTAAAAAAGTTGCTGCTGTTTTGTCCTCAAAATAGGACAGTCGAAGTGTCTTCAATTTACTCAGACCATGGTCCTTCCATTGTGGGTCTTGCAACATCATTATAGCCTCTTCATTATGTAATGTACACAGTTCCAACTGTGGAATCACCTGCAATATAATATATTTCATTTATTTATTTTCTCTTACATATAATAACAATAATAAATGCTAACAATAAGAAATATTTACCCATAAGCAAAGAGGCACAATACACACATAATAAGTTATGTTCTATTTGGCTATATCACTGAAGAGCAATAAACTTCACGTAAAAATCCCCATACCTTTTTTCCTGTTTCCATTTTATTATCTTCTAAAATATACCCAAAATAAAATGCTTCATATAAAAATTGAAATATCACAATTTTTCCTTACCTTCAAACCATAAAATTTTCGTTTTCTATACGAATTGCATTAAAAAGTTGAGCTATTACCTAACTGAAAAGGAATGTGTGTGTGTGTGTGTGTGTGTGTGTGAGAAGAATAAACATATGATGACCATACCTCTTCAACTACGAAGAGATGTTGTTGGGTGGGATGCGGATTTTGGCCATCAGCAGTCTCTCTATGGTTGCTTGTATTGTGTCTCCCGAATAACTTCAATTTTGCACAGTTGAAGACCCATAGCATTCTCAGTGATGGGCAGGTTAAACTGTGATTTTCACCATAAAACCTATCAAGTTCATACATGTTCTTAATCTCCAAAAAGTATAATCGATCAAAGTGAAATATGGCTTTTTCCTCCATTGGTCCCTGTTTCTTCGCGACAATTTTATTCATTCCACAATAATCCACTGTGAGTCGTTCAAGTTGTTGAAGTTCCAGCGCTATTGAAAATGGGAAGAGATGTTCTAACTTTAGACAACCTCCAACATAGACATCTTGGAGATTATGAAAGCAGAAATTTCCTTGGGGATCCTTACTCCATATTTGTTTCAACTTTGGCAAGCGGCGCAGATGGAGTTTTTTCAATTGTGTGACTTGTGTTCTTGTGTCGTCCCCATTATTGATTTCATTGGCAGGTAATTTGAATATCTCTTTCACTAAGCCACAATCACTAACCATCAACGTCTCTATTCTTCCCAATGTTGTGTGCATATCTGGGAAAATATTCTCAAGTTTCTCACAATTATTGACCTTCATAGTCTTCAACCCATCAAATTGGGAATGCCATGCTTTCTTTAACCTTTTCATGTGGCTGATTACGATAGTCTCCAATTTTAGAAGCCCAACCTGTGATGCAAAGGCCAATTTATAGGTCCATATATATAATAAATGATGGCAACTACACAAGAGCATATTTTTTTATGTATAGTGATATGAGTTGCTCAAATAATACAAGTTCTTACCTCTTCTATTCCAGTGCCATTTCTCCCCTCTGTACTAATTATCTCCTCCATCATCTCACACTCTCTTATTTCAAGCTCCTTAAGGTTTGGAAAACTTTGAACCATAGACGATGAGAATAAATACTTCAAACCACTGCACTTCTCGACACTTAGTTTAGCCAGCTTGTGAAAAGAATTGGCTATAGAAAGGTGATCATCTTGCCAAATATTTTCTAGATAGATTGCACTCAACTTTAGAGTCTCCAAATTAGAAAACTTAGCCTGTAAAAAAAAAGTAAATTATTAGTAATTTCATGGAGCCACAAGAATTAAAAAAAAAACACTAAAATAGTTAAGAACAGTGAAAATGTTGAGGATTTTGATCATACAGAGGATAATGGTTCGGTTGGAAGTAATTGATCCAATAATCAACATCATACACATATATGGTCAAACTTAAAAATTGTTTTCCTAACAAAATTTTATAAATTATACTTTCATTAGTATTTCTAATTGTATCTTACTATTTCAAAAATATATGCATACATAGAGTGAATGCAATATAAGAATAAAACAAATACCTTTCCACTAAAAAAAGATGATGAAGCGTGAATGTACGACGACGAACTCTGCATGGTTGTTGATGAAAATGTCGACAAACCAGAGTAGAAATCCTCAATGGCTAGTAGATATTGCAAAGTTAAGGATCGCAATGAACAAAACTCAATATTGTCATCAACAGTTTCTGAGTTTGGCAAAGAATTTTCTATAAACACAATCTTTTTCATAGAATTACATTCTGAAACTTCAATCTCATCAAGTTGGCAAAGGGCTTTGACCATCAGCGTTGAAAAGAGATACTTCAACTGGCCACAATATTTGACTCTGACGGATCTAAGTTTTGCAAATGAATTATTCATAAATGAGCCATGGCATATCTTCTCTAATTTATTGAGATTTTGAAGTAGTAATGTCTCCATCTTTGGGAAGAAAACAAGACTTCTTTTTCTCTCCGTTGAGTTGACGATGTGTTGAATTTTTCCATGATTTTGGATGTGAAGATGCTTTAACAAGGGAAATCCTTCTCCATTCAAATGGTAAAGCACATTGGAGATTCCATTTACTTCATCCAAGTACAAATCCTCCACTCCTTTAATAAGTTCTTTAATCCCATGCTCCAAATGAATGACACTGTCAAGCTTGAGTTTCAACATTTTGGAGGCCCCATGATTATCAGCCCATTCCCAAGCATCTCCTATCACTATTTTGTATCTTTCTAGTTTGTCAAACATTATATTCCTTGGTAGAACCCAAGCCCCTTTGATTTGAATTTCTAGAGCAGTCAAGTTCGCTAGATACCCAAGTTCGGCAAGGGAAACATTTTTATTTTCCTCATTTGAATCCTCTTGGTCCCACTTGATGGCAGTATCCCCCAAATACAACTCCTCCAATTTGATCAGTTTTGATATAATGTTGGACGGGAAGATTTCGATTCCTGAATGGCTCAAATCCAACATTTTAAGATGAGTCAATTGCCCTAGTTCACTGGGCAATGTTCTCATAGATGATTTGTAAAGGCTAAGAACTTGTAAATTCGTTAAAGCTCCAATGTTGGTCATATCTTCCAAAGCACACCCATCCAAACAAAGAGTTTGAAGGTCACTAAGGGAATGAAAAGATTGGGGTAATGAAGGTAAGTGCAGGCGAGTCAAATCTAATACCTTCAAGTTTCTCATTCCCTCAAAGAAAGAATTTGGGACGCTTAGAGATTCATTGTTATTAAACAAGTGAAAAAGTTTAACGTTAGGACACTCTAACCTTTCAGGAAGTTTAGGAATATGACACTCATCTAAGCTGATTTGAGTGCATCTTTGAAGGGATTCCTCTGGTGGCCATAACTCATCTCCCCTTCCAATTTTGCAAGCATGTTGATCTCTTGAAGCAATTGAGACTGCCACTTCATGTACAATATCATGCATTTTAACTTCCATGTTTGAGTTGTTTTCGAGTAATAGACAGGATGCCTTCAAGGAACCAATCAACCTGTGAAGTTCAAGTCTTGCATCTTTTGCAGAATAAGTTTGGTTGAATATGCCTAAACCTATGGCATATTTGAACAACCATTCAACAGAAATTTGTGGACCAACTAATCCACAAAGCAAGAAAAATGCCTTCACATCATCACCCTGAAGATGATTGTAACTAAACTCCAAAGCCGAATAAATTTTCTCACTCATTCCTTTCTTATCAACGGTCTTTAGCTGGTTCAAGGCATATTTCCAAGAATCAAGATTATCTTCATTTTTCAATGCTCTTGCCACTGTCACTATAAGAACAATCAAGCCTGCACATTTTTGGGCCACCTTGATTGCCACATCACGTAAACTAACTTCTTTGACAACATCACCCACCATATCTTCAAACAAGCTCCAAGCTTCTTCTTCATTTAAAACATCTATCAGAAAATCTTCGTCAGTATCCATTGTTTTTAGTATTTCTTTATTTCTAGAAATCAACAATAGCTTGCAACCCTTGTGGTCATTTAGAGGAATTCCCACCTTTTCTAATTCAAGCATTGGCCAAATATCATCCAATATGATCAGGATACTTTTCTCATTTTTAATCCTCTGCTTGAGGCGATCTGCTCTTCCATTGATGCTCATCTCTTCAAAGTGAAGACCCAAAAAATCTGCAATTTGACCCTGAATTCTTTCAAGATCTGCAACTTGGGATGCCTTAACCATAACAACTTCATCAAACAGCTTGCTTTTAACTTTTCTAGCAATTTCTTCAACTAGAGTGGTTTTTCCCACTCCGCCAAGCCCATAGACTCCTATTCGGCTTAAGTTGGGATCTCGTAGAGCCAAGACAATGTCCTCCATCATTTTCTTTCTTGATTGAAGCTTCTCACTACTTGTCGCAGACGTAGAGCCTACTCCCTCTAGAGGAGGTAAGAATGCGAATGGACGAATGTTATCTTTTCGTTGCATTAATTCAACAACATTGCCAGCCATTTTCTTAGCTTTTCTACTGAGGTGATGTCGTGACTTCAAATCAGGAAAAGGCCACTTGTAGCAGCCAACGTTCCTGTGACGAGGATCATCACCAAGTTCCTCTGCTGCTCCAATGATTTCATCTACGCTATTTAGCCAGTTCTTTACAGCATCGTAAATTTGCCGTCCATTTCTTCTTTCTGCTTCCACTTCATGACTGATAGTTTCCTTCAGTCTCTTCAGCTCCTCTACTTGATCCCTCAGATTCTTGAAATTGCCTTTGTAGAACATCAAATAACCCAATTGCCTTCCAAGGGGTGCCACGGTGTAGCCTACTATCGGTTCTACAAATTTTCCAGCAATGGTCGTGACAATCTCCATTCTTGTTGCCCGATTTAGCTGTGTAGCAACTCAAATATATGGTCAACTGATAATACCAAGAACAGCAATTGGTAAGAGAAAAATTGGCATCAATATTCAATGCCAATGTCTCCATTTACATTATAGCATAGATGTCTTTTTAAATTAAAGAATTATAAATAATATACTCCATGAGTCCTATTTACAAGGCATAAAAAAAAAATTTCTTGATTAATTTATAAGTTACTTTATTAAATTTTTAACATGAATATACTATTTTGTCCTCCATTTTTTATAATGTATATATTAAATAGGAGTAAAGTTGAAAATTTATTATATTTTAATAAAGAGTTAATACAGTTTAAAATTTTTCTTAATTTATATAAAACATGCAAGAAGTATCTTATAAATAGGACTGAAGGAGAATGCATTGTCTTTCCACTGAAAATGCATTCTAAAATTATCATTTTTTCTAATACTGTGTGTTTTTTTTTAATAGAGTACTATGTGTTTTATATTATATATGATTAAGATTATTAATTTTTGTCTGAATGAACTTTCAAATTAAAATATCTTGCAGTGCTGCGAGAAATTTTTAAGTAGTAAAAGTGAAGAAGTTAGAATAAGCGAGCACAAATTGTCCACGTAGAAAATTTCTCTTAAATGTAACAGATAAAAATTATGAGATAATTCAAAAAAAAAAAAAAAAGAAGTTTCAGATCAATCAGTGCACCAATGAATTTTTACCTCAAAAAAATCGACCTTGTGCATCCTTATCGTGAACAAATTGAAAATAAAACTAGTGAGAATACCCATAATCGCGTGCCCCAAAAAAAAAAAAAACAAAACAAAACAAAAAAAGAAACTTAGGCCTAAATCCAAAGTATATAACCGTCAAGAGAAGGATTTACCTGGATCCCTTTGTGATCAGCACCACTTTTCTGCGCCTGATATAAACGGAAGAAGACAGCACCAAAACTCCTGAAGTGCCCACTTCTTAGATTTTCATATATGATCGATCACAACAAAAGTATCAGTATGTGAAGAAGGACAGTAGTAGCAAGAAGAGAGAAATATTTAAGCCAGACTTTTCTTTGTTTTTTTGTTTTGTTTTTTTTTTTTTAATTTAGTTCAGATCTAAAGACTTAGGCAAGCAGTAACAAAACCTTTTAAAGAGACTTTTTTGGGGCAAGATTGACAGCACAGGAATTTTCCTTTTGTTGCTTTTTTCCCCCTAATTTTTAAATATTTTTATGACTGAAAGCAACAAATTGATGCACAAGAAAATGAACGAGAAGAGAGATATGAACAAGGGAGTGAACGGACACATACGGACAGTAAGGATTGAAATGGTTTGCAACTTAAAGGGAAGTTCAGAAGAGCGTTGGAGAACAGAGACTTAGTAAGCTGAAGAATGCGAAGATGAAGAAAGACGATAGCTTTAACCATAGCCACACATATTGGAGGGATGACAAAATGACTTTATGGATTGACCCAAAGACTTTGCAGAGTCGCAGTCAACTTTGCCTACGCACACTGCTGTTTACACAGTTGTCCCTGAACGTGACACTCCAACTTAAAATTACTTATGCAGATCATAAATTGGTTGTCTCTCTTCAGATTATGAGCTTAGAAATTAAGAGAAGGAGCCTAGAAATAATCAACCACAAAAGACAATGTGGTTTTGGGGTCTTTGAAAATTTAATACTTTAATTACCAGCTAATCCTTGATATTATTCTGCAATAATTTAATTTCAGTATTTTAAATATTCATCCTTTAAAAGTCATATCCATTAGCTTTTCAACTTTGTTGAAATTCTTCGCTTTTTTTAAACTTCAAAACATACACTTTGATTAATTGTAATTTTGGCAACTAAAATGCTGTCGGGTCCAATAACCGAAATATATATGTTTTTAATTAAATTAGGAAGGTTTGAGCTTTTAGCTTTTAACTTATGGTAAATTCTTTTCACTTGAGCTAACCAAAAGTGGCTAACTGAAACATATAAATTTACTTAAAGTAATATAAAAGAAAACATTTTTATACATGATAAAGGCATTTTTTATAATTAAATAGTTGTAGTGTGTAAACATATTTAAGTTAAATTCATAAATATTTTATACTTATATAATATATTTTATATATTTTTAATTTCTTTCTACACTTACTTATACGATAAAAGGAAATTTCACTACAAAAATCTACTCATAGTTGTGATTTCTTTTTAATATTTTGGACAGGAAAAGCTTTAAAAGAAGGAAAGAAGGAAGAAAATTGAAAAAGAAATCAGAAAAATGTGTAAATATGTTGCGGGGGCAAGAATGAGGGAGGCACGAAAATGTACGTTGATTTGTTGTGTAAAAAAGAAATTATGCTAAGACACTACCTGGTTTCACACTACAGAGATCTCCAACATTTACAAATAGAAAAAACTTCACCTTTTTTTTTTGTTTTCCGGTTAAACAAAGCATATCCGAAAGTAATCCTCTTATTGCTTGAATTTTTTAATTAAAAGAACAAATTGGTTCACGAAAAGATGACAACAAAAAAAAATAAAAATAATAAACAAAGCAATATTTGATTATCTTTCAAAATTATATTTTTAAATATATATTACATTACATAAGCAATATATGTATTATTAAGTTAAATTGAAGCATTATCAAGCTTGAACAAGAGTAGTCCCTTTAACTTGATTTCTTAAATCCACAAGATTTGATTGAACCTCACCTTTGATTAAAAGATATCAAACCCTCTTTAATTTAATCCCCTCATTCATTATTACATACAGAAAATATTTTTCATATACTCAGTTAATAGAAAAGCATGGATATATTTTTCTTTACATTTAATAAAAATATTTTAAATTAATAGTAACCAAAATTTAATGAACCTGGCTTTCCTTTTGGGCTCTTACCATCTTCTTCCCTCCTCTACCCAAAACTACACCGTTTTGGGTGTGCAAAAAGTAGACTGATTTTTTTCCTCCAAACTAACATTCTTGAATCTAAAGTATTTTTTCAATAATATCTAATATCTTAAAATAATTTTTAATATACTTGGCACACAAAAATATTTTTCAATAGGACTCAATATCTAGCAAACTGTACTCTAGTAGCACCCAATATTCTAAACTAATTTTTAGTAGGTCCAGCATCCTAAAATAATTTTTCATGCACGTGGCACCCAAAATTATTTTTAAGTAGTACTAGCAAGAGTGCAGCAAGCTACATTCTGAACTATTTTTTATTAGCAACTAGTATTTTAAATTAATTTTTAATACATCCGATGTCCCATATTATCTTTCTAGTAATAACACCTAATTTCCTAAAATTAATATAATACTGCAAGTCCAACTTACTATATACTGGGTGCTGAAAAAATATTTTAATATATTAAATGCTTAAAAAAAAGACTCAATCACAACTTATGCTTAAAAAAAAAAAAACCTAAAAGCTGAAACAAATTTGTGTGAGACAACTATAAGTAAATATAAATACGCAATATAAAATAAACTTGAGACATGTAAATCATTTAAATAAACAGTAAGTTGCTGGGGGAAAAAAAAAAGAACAATAAACTTGAAGTAAACATAAATAAACAACATAAAATGCACTACTAGTATATAAATAACTTTAGTGTACAGTAAATATCTTTTAAATTTAAATGGATGAGCTTGCAAATTTATTCGAACACATTAATCTTTCAAAAACAATGATAGAAATCATTGCATATAATAATCTGAATTAATCCGCAAACCTGAAACAAATTCATTAAAGAAAACACCAAAACATCTGTGAAATCTTAATATGCAATGATAGCATCGTTAAGTGAAGACTTATTTAAAATTTAGTCAAAATATAAAAACATAGTCTATAATAACTAAGCTTTTTGAAATGAAAATAAAAATAAAAATTTTCTAAAAACAAAGAAAAACACAATCTATAAACTAAATTCTAATTCAAATTCTAATATATATATATCAGTATCAAAATAATTAAAATTGAAGGGTGTAAACAAAAAAAATAATGAAAAAAATGTTTTAATTAAAAAAGGGGGTTGGGACTGGGATGAGACGAGACATCATCCCAAGGGTCTTCCTGAGTCCTGTCCTGTTCCCTTTGTGTCCCGAATACATCCCATCCTCAAATGACTAAGACAGATACAAGCCTATCGAGACGGGTATATGGCTCAGCACTTCTAATCACTATATGAAAAAAGTTTAGGAGGGTCCTCAACAGTTGTTATTCAGAACATTAAGAAAATTGGGTCCAATTCTCCTTCTTAGATATGATAGTCAATTAATTAATTCATCAATGTTAAGAAAAATGGACCTTATAGAAGGAAGCTCTTGTCCCATCATTATCATGTGATGTGATGTGACCATATCAAGTCAAACTTATTTAATAATAAACCATTCTAAGCTGCTTGTGAAAAGTTTTTTTTCTTGCTTGAGTCCAATTTGAGCATGTTAAAAAAATTTATAATTTAAAATTTTTTTAAATATGTAATAAAAAATACATATAAGTAAAATATACATACTACATAATAATCATTTTTTATTATTATATTTTATTTAAATTTTAATATCAGAAGTAATAATTTAAATTTTAATCACAGTTAATACTATTAAAAACAAATTAGAATTATATATTAAAATTTGAAATGAGATTAGATATAAACACAAAATTAAAATTAAAATTAAAATAAATAAATAAGTCAGTCTTAACATGATTCCCAAAAAGCCTATGCTTAGTATACTAGGCTAAAGAACAACAATATCCAAAACGCCACGGCTTGCCTAAGACTAGATACAAATTTTCCAGCAACGGTCGTGACAATATCCATTTTGGTTTCCCGATTTAGCTGCCTAGCAACTCAAATATAAGATCAACTGATAATATAAAGAACAGCAATTGGTATAGCACCAATACCAATTTCCATTTACATTCATACAATGTGCAAGATATCATAACCTTTTAAAATTTTAAAATTATAATTATAAATAATACACGTGTATTGTCTCACCAAACCGAAAATGCATTCTAAAATTATCGTTTTTTCTAATACTATGTTTTTTTATACTATCTATGATTAAGATTAAGATTAAGATTATTATTTTCTGTTTGAATGAACTACAATGAAAAGTTTTAAACAGTTAAAGCCAAGAAGC